AGTACAGACATCACTCAAGGTTTAAGTGTGTGCATATCCTTCTGATGTGTATCCATTTTTATTTGATTCTAATTAAAACCCTCTGATTTTGAATGAAATACTTACTGTGAGCCAAGGTTGGTAGAAAAAAAAAGGTTTTCTTCCAATATTATCAGGCTAGATATTATTCACCCTAAAATTTTCCTCACAAACAAATTACGAAAACCATCTGAATCAAAATTTCTGAAATACAGTATATGTTTGCTTAGAGATAAGTGCTTTTTAAGATTTTGTGCACTCATTTTATCTTGATGAAAATGTCAGTCAGCCTAGGATTTTGTTAAGTTCCTGGTCAAGTGGAAATTTGCCTGGAAGTGCTGTCTGTAAGGAATATTAGGGTTTTATTGGGAGCATAAGTGGAACAGGGTTGCCTTGAGTCTCCTGCTGATAATTCCAGGGCACCGCATATATTGGGGATGGTTGATAACGCAATGTTTGATCATCGTTGAGGGACTAATTTCTAAGGAAGACTGTTTGGCAAGCTTCCAAGGACAAAAGCTCAAGGACTCAATACAGCTGTGTTGGGTTTTGTCCCTTAGGAACCGCCTAATAAAGAAAAGATTTCTTTTTCTTTTTCTCTAAATTTTTGATTGCAGATGTAAAGAAACTGTTTCTATGTATATACTGAATTAGTCTATTACTAAAACCATTAGAAATGGAATATTTACTTTTCAAAATGGGGTAATGTTCATTGGAAAATTAAGAGCCATGAAAATGATTCAAAATGGCTGCAAAATATTTATACATTTTTCCCTAATATTTTCCTTTGTACATATGTTTGTTTGTGTCTTGTCAGAGGAACTTTCTTATATTATTATTTTGAATATCAGCATCCATTCCCCATTTTATATTAAAATGTCATAATTTATCATGAGGCATGTATTTTAGGCTTTCATGGAAAACAATTTCATTTATGTGTTGGCTTCTTTTAGAGAAGTTCATCTACTGAAAATATTTTGAGGCATCTTGTGCTGCCTGTTCAGATTTGGCAATGTCCTGACTCGTCCACTTAGCAATATTTGTCCCACTTGTTTTGATACCTTAGCATATTTGTTATTTTATTTTATATTGAACACATCAGCATTGGTGTTACTAAACATTTGATAATCAATTTATTAGCCCAAAACTCACTTCTTTTCTCTCTAATCAAGTCCAATATTTTGTTAACTATGAATAAAAGTTAATCAAAATATGAAAAAAACATTGAAATATTGTATTGAGGATGACTTGTGTAAGATGAGGATGCAAAAGAGTATCTGAAAAGGATGAAGTAAGAATGAGATTAAAATATTCTTCTGCATCTTACTTCAATCATATGCCCTCATTATGCAGAAATGAATCTGCCCAAATGACACCCAATTTACAGTTAATTATGAAAGTCTGAAATTTTAAAAACTTCTATTATCGCTTTTCAATATTTTTAAAATACATATTAATCAGAGATAAACTAAAAATCTATTTAATGATGATAATTACAAGATTAAAATAATGAACACTCAATTCTCATTTTCTACAAGCTGTTGACCCACTTATTTGTATCAGTCCCCAGAATCTGGGGCTCACTTTTTGAAGTTAACAACTCCTAGGGCTCTGGGAGGGAGAAGTGGGGAAAGAGTAATTATGAAAAAAAAGGGAACATTTCAGCTATCTATATATATATCTATCTATAGCTATCTATATCTATATTAAACAGCTATCCTTGTTTAATATAAGTATGGAAAGAAGAAGATATCTATTTAATTTTATATATTATGATCATTTCACTTGTCATCCTTATCCAAATTTTATGACATTGAGCAATTGGATTGATTAAAACCAAGATTGTGCAGAAAGTCTAAAGAAAAGACAAGAGAAATACATGACTTATTCAGGAAAAATAGGTACTATGAGAGCTAGGGGGAAGATACAGAAGAGGTGATTGAAGAGAGAATAATGGGTCGTAAGTAAGACAAAAGTATGTGGAAAAACATATAAGGACATGTCATCATAATTCTTGGCTAATAAAATATATTACTACTTCTTATAATGAGCAAGATGAGTGTGCAGGATTTCTGCTTCCTGAGAAGCAAGAAGACATTAATTACACTAAAGAAACAATTAGATATATAATCTTAGAAATTCTAAAAAGAAGTTGTTCCTTGTATTTAACTATACAGAAGTACATGCCCAATGCAAGTGAAAAGAAAAATAATACATAGAAAGAGAACCAGTAAATAAAAATTAGGAGTAAAATCATGCTGTGTTTTCACTGGAACATGCACTGACTTTTTAGTGAACAATAAATACTTGTCAAATACTTACCATGATTTGTAAATAAAAGTAAGTGACAATAGCTAAAAATATAGAATCTAGTCAATATGGATGTGAAAATAAAAATAAATCATAATATCATTAAATGGTATTGATATTTAACAGGAATTTTTAAATGAATTCATATACTACGCAATTTGATAACTTCTCCTGGAAAGTGTTTAAGTTGTCAATCATGATATTCACAAAAATGACAATATGATTTAATGAGAGAAACACATATTTTATCAATGTATTAATGCACTATAATTAAATTGGAAGAATGAAAATTACTTATATATTAAGAAATTCAAAAGTTTAAACAAAACAATTGAACACTTGGAAAAATGGGAAAATACCTTCTTAAAATCTTGAACAAAAACATTTACAAATAAATTTAAAGAAACAAATAATGAAAATCTCTGAAGCAGGATTATTACAGAAAGAATTTAATAGCAGTTCTATACTATGTCTAGAAAAACTTACAATTTTTAAATTTTTATTTATTTTTCTTTTTTGATGTCACAGATTTATAACACTGTACAGGATTTAGGAAAATAGGTTCACACTTCTTAGATGTATGTTATGCACCACCCCCACCACGAAATCACCCTTAATCTAGACCATTGGGCTCCCTCCTGTCTTTGTCTCTGCCACTTTTTCTCAACCTATAGTCTTATTTCTAGGGTTTATTTTGGTTTAGTTAAGTCATTTCCTTTGTTATTTTTTTTCTATAGAGAAAATATTTTTAAAAAGGGGAAATTGAGCAATCTCCCGGACTAAAGTTTATGGGTTTCCACAGTATCCAAATTTATTTGTAATACTTAGATTTATAACATGTTTCCATTAAAAATGTAAAGCATATGAGTGAAGCATTTAATTGAATAATTGACTTTCAAAGAACATGACAAACTTTAGAAACCAAGAGAAAACAATGGTTTTTAAATATATATAAATTTTCAAGAAAGAAGTAGTGATGGAAGCTGTTAACAATCACAAAAAGGTAGGATCTTGAAATGTTTAGCAGATAGAAAACAGAGGTTTTACTGCATGCAAAGATTTATTTTTTTTAAAGATATATTTATTTATTTATACAAGCACTGGGTACAGTCAGAAGTGCGGGAGGGTGAGAGAATTCACCAGAGACAGAGTGGGGAGCAGAACAGACTGACAAAATACACTGCTAGCTGAGGGGAGCAGCGGGCACTGCAGGAGAGATCTGCACGCCATGTGGGACCCTCGCCCAGTGGCCAGGGATCAAACTGGAGCTGCAGAGGCTGCGGTTAGCTTTGCAGCCCAGCCCTCAACCGCTGCGCCACCAGGGGAGGCCCTGCAAAGATTTAAATTGATGAAATCACAACACTTCAAGTCCAGAGCATAGTATATGACAGCCTTGATTTTCTCGTAGACAAGGAACACATTAATCTTAAAATATTTCAATAACAAAAGATATGATAAACTTTAAACTTGCAAGTATACCAGAAAACTGAAAAAAAATGTGGAAATACCAGATATTTTACTTATATATATGCAATACCTACATAACTCTTCATCTAAATGCTAGGCCATCAGTAATTGTTAAGACCTTTCTATCTCCTTTTCTTTTTTCAATATTTTGTAAGTTTTCTTCAATGTTAAATTCTACCAACTAAGTCCAAACTATTGAAGCATTCAGATTTTCATTTGTGTGTGTGTTCTTGTTTAATAAATTAATCAAAATTAATGTACAAAATACAGTGAATATTTTTTTGTCAAAAACCACTATGGATTAAAAATAGTGCAGGAGGGCCTCCCTGGTGGCGTAAGGGGTTAAGCACAGCACTATAAAGCTATCTGCAACTACTGCAGCATGAAATCTATCCCGGACTGCCCAGGAAACTACCCACATAGTGCAGCAGACCTCTCCTGTCTCGCCGGCTGCTCCCCTCAGCAGTGTATTTCAGTCAGTCTGCCTATTCTGTTCCCCACACTGTCTCTGGTGAATCCTCTCACCCCCACATCTCAGGCCTGCACCTCAGCTCTTGTATGCATAAATAAATAAAGCTTAAAAAATTGTAGGAATATATCTTCTTATGATAATGGACAATATTTACTGGAATTATGTTAAATATTTTACATCCATCATCTGAGTTAATCTTTAGGAAGGCTCAACAAACCTGGGATTATTATTCATCTTGTAAAGTTTAGGAGACCGAGGCTAGAAGTTAAGTGTCTTATTGAAGATTCTATAGCTCAAAGGTAAGCAGACCTAGATCTAATCCAGGTACCTGCTTCCAAACAAAATGCTCACAGCCACTCTACTACATTTCTTCTAAATGTACTGGATTAAATGATTTCTGCAGCTGTATTTTGTAGTGGCAAAAACTGAGCTCTTTTCCAAAATAAAATTCTCTAATGATAGCCTATGCAAGGGAATCAGTATATCTTTTTAAAGATGACAACTCAATTTTCTTGATTTGTCCATCAGTTGCCCTTAAATTTAGACACATGTTAAGACCTATTTCATGATTTCCACTACTATATGAATCTCTAAAGACATGCTACTAGAAATGCCCATGATCACATCTGGTCAAATAACAGAAACATGAGCAAAGGGAGTCAGTATTTTTAGAGAGATCTTAAGGAAATGCCCTATAGGGAAGAAGGAAGAAAAACTTAATAGTTCAGCATCACTATTTCAAGTGTCTGGAGCCCTCTGTCTTCTGCAGGAGTCTAAGGACAGCATTTTTCACTTCCTTGTTGCGAAGACTATAAATGAGGGGATTCAGCATGGGGGTCACAATAGTATAAAACACAGAAGCCACCTGATCCTTTCCCATGGAGTAGGATGTGCTTGGTCTTAAATAAGTGAAGATCATGGTGCTATAAAAGATGGTGACAGCCATGAGATGAGAGGCACAGGTGGAGAAGGCTTTTCTCTTTCCTGAAGCAGAATTGATTTTCAGGATAGTGGAGAGAATGGACACATAGGACACTGATAGCATAATAAGAGAGACCATGAGGGTGGCACCAGCAAAAAAGACTATTATGGATTCGATGTCATGGGTTTCACTGCATGACAAGGCTAAAATTGGAGATGGGTCACAGAAAAAATGATGGATTACATTGGAGTTGCAGAAATGTAACCTGCTCGTGCATAGCCTATTGACTAAAGAGTCTGCAAAACCTACCAAATAGGTCCCAGCAAGGAGGGTCCAGCAGCGTCTTGTGGACATAACAACAGGGTAGTGGAGAGGATTGCAGATGGCTACATAGCGATCATATGCCATGGAAGAGAGAAGAAAACATTCAGCAGCACCAAGGTAGACAAAAAAGTACATTTGGGTGAAACAACTGGCATATGAAATCTTCTTATTGGAGTTCAGTAAGTTTTCTAAGGTTTTAGGAGTGATGACAGATGAATAACTGAGGTCAATGAAAGACAGGTGACTGAGGAAAAAATACATGGGGGTGTGAAGCTGGGCATCCAGACGAATGATCATCATCATCCCCGCATTTCCAAGCACGGTGACCAGGTATATCAGGAGAAAGAGCACAAAGAGCACCAGCTGGATGTCTTCAGTATCTGTAAATCCCAAAAGGATGAAGTAAGGCACATCTGTGTTATTCCATCTATGCATTGTGCTCCACTGCTTTTACCTGTTGAGAAGTCAGAGTTGACACTTAGCTAAATGTCTTCAAAAGGTTTTATTCCCAATGCTTGATGGATGACATGCTAGTATAATTTGGTGGGGGCAATACTTCAGTGGTAATATCTGATGGCATTGTGCAAACTACATCAATTAAAAATAAATGAATTTTAAAAAGTAAAATGTGTGCTTCTGCGAATACCCTAACTTATGAATATTTGTTTAATATTTCTATTTTTATAATACTGAGTAGTTTATGGAATATGATGGAATAAAATCCAATTTGATTGCCAAATAAATAGGTATAAATTGATAATTGTAGATGATATAATAAAATCTAATGTTTCTAAATTAGAATGAAAGTGACATTATGCTAAATGCTTCTCTTATTTAATGTAATTATTCCTCATAATAATATTATACTATGGGTGTTTGTCTTAGCCATATTTTTTAGGTTAGAAAATGAAATAGGCAGTTCAAGATATTTATCCAGAGTCAGAGCTATTAGATGATGACATTGAATCTACAAGATTGATTGCAAAGTGCTTATCTATAACATATCCCCAATTATAATTTTTCAGAAGCCCTGAAAAACGTGATTATATATAAAAAACCATAATACAAACAAGATTTAAGACATTATTTACTAAACTTTTGCTTCCAATATTATTTATTACTAATTACATATCTCAATCTTAAAGAACTTCATTATTGGTGCAATTAATACTAATTAATAATAATAATACCAGTTTCCAGAAGCTAAAATGTTTTCCTAATTTAACCATTCTAAATCAATTTCCTCCAAAACTGTTTTCTAAGATATTGACATTCCTTGGAGACCCTGATTCTATAAACTCTTATTTCTGTCTCCACAGGCACAGGCATCACTTATAGTCTAAGGTCTTAATGATATGTGTGCTTATCCTTCGGATATGAATCTATTTTTATTTGATTCTAATTAAAGCCATCTAATTTTCAGTGAAATACTTACTGTGAGCCAAGGTTGGTAGAGGAAAAAAGTCTTCTTCCAATATTATCAGTCTAGAAATCTTTCACCCTAAAATTTTCCTCACAAACAAAATATGAAAACCATCTGAGTCGAAAATTTCTGATATCTAGTGTATGTTTGCTTAGAAATAAGTGCTTTTGAAGTTTTTGTGCATTCATTTTATTCTGATGTAAAAATCAGTCAACCTAGGAATCTTGTTAAGGTCCTGATCAAGTGGAAATTTGCCTGGAAGTGATGTTTTAGGAATATTAGGGTTTTATTGGGAACATTTTGGAACAGAATTGCCTTGAGTCTCTTGCTGATAATTCCAGGGCACCTCATATATTGGGGATGGTTGATGCTGCAATGTCTGAGCAGAGAGACTAATTTCTAAGGAAGACTATTTGGCAAGCTTCCAAGGACAAAAGTTCAAGGACTCAGTACAGCTGCATTATGTTTGTCTCTTAGAAACCACCTAATAAGGAGTCTGGTTTGTTTGTTTTTTGTTGTTGTTTTTCACTAAATTTTTGGTTGCAGATGTAAAGAAACTATTTCTATTTTTCTATGACTGAAACCATTAGGGATGGAAAGATTTATTTTTCACAATGAAATAATTTATATATATAATGTGCTACTATCATAGGCATAAATCATTTTCATTGGAAAAATGTTGATTGGAAAATTAAGAAGCCATGGAAACAATTCAAAATGATTGCAAAATTTTTACAAATTTTCCCTAGTGTTTTCCTTTGCTTTTTTTTTTTTTTTTTAAGATTTATTTACGTATGCATACAAGAACTGGGGTACAGGCCAGAGTTGCGGGAGGATGAGAGGATTCACCAGAGACAGAGTGGGGACAGAACAGGCAGATTGACTGAAAACACTGCTTAGGGGAGCAGCAGGCAAGACAGGAGAGGTCTGCTGCACCATGTGGGTATCTCGCTGACCAGTGGGGGATTGAACTTGTGCTGCTGAGGCTGTGGACAGCCTCATAGTGCTGTGCTTAACCCCTTGTGCCACCAGGGAAGCCCCCTAGTGTTTTCCTTTATACATATGATGTTTGCATACTGACAGAGGTGTTTACTTATTATTACTTGTGTATCAGCATCCATCCAAATTTCATAATTTATCATGAACAATGTTTATTTAGTATTCAGCAAAACCCATAATTTCATGTATTATGTGTTGGTTAGTACCCCATAGCTGGCTTCCTTTTAGAAAAGTTCAATTGCTGATAAATATTTAAAGGCATCATGCTCTTGCATTATCTATAAGAAGTGTATGCCCAATGCAAGTGAAAATAAAAATAATTCTTAGAAATGGAACCAGTAAATAAAAATGGAACCAGTAAATAAAAATTAGGAATAAAGTCATGCTGTGTTTTCATTGGAACATGCACTGACTTTTTAGTGAACAATAAATGCTTATCAAATACTAACAACTATTTGCTAATAAGCAAGTGGCAATAGCTATAAATATAGAATCTAGGCAACACAGATGTAAAAATAAAAATAAATCATAATATTAAATGGTATTGATATTTAGTAAGACTTTTTTTTTTTGTTTTGTTTTGTTTATACATGCACTGGGTACAGTCAGAAGCGCGGGAGGGTGAGAGAATTCACCAGAGCCAGAGCGGGGAGCAGAGCAGGCAGAAGGACCGAAGTACACTGCTGAGGGGAGCAGCGGGCGGCAGGAGAGGTCTGCGCGCCATGTGGGACCCTCCTCCGGTGGCCGGGGAGCAGCCGGGGGATCGAACCAGTGCCGCAGACGCCGCGGGCAGCTTCGCAACCCAGCGCTCAACCACTGCACCACCGGGGAGGCCCTAGTAAGACTTTTTAATGAATTCATGTAACATGAGATTTGGTTATCAACATGCTAACTTTCCTCTGGAAGGTGTTTCAGTTTGAATCAAGCTATTCACATATAATTACAATATGATTTATTGAGAGAAATGCACATTTTATTTATTAATGCACTATAGTTATCATTGGTAGATAAAAATAACTTATCTACTAAGAAATACAAAAGTTCAAACAAAAAATTGAACACTTGCAAAAATGGGAAATAACTTCTTAAAAACTTGACTAAAAACCATTTGTAAATAAATTTAAACAACCTTAAAGAATGGAAATCTCTGAAGCTGGAATATTGCAGAGAGAATTTAATAGCGATATCATACTATGTCAAGAAAAATTTTAAACTTTTAAATTTTAGTTATTTTTGTTTACTGAGGTAACATAGATTTATAACACTGTACAGAATTTAGGAAAATAGGTTCACACTTCTCATATGTATGTTACAAACCACTCCAACCATGAAATTATCCTTAACCAAGACCATTGGGCTCCCTCCTATCTTTGTCTCCACAATTTTTTTCTCCACCTGCAGTCAGATTTCCAGGGTTTATTTTGGTTTAGTTAGGTCATTTCCTTTGTTATTTTTTCTATAAAAAATATTTCTAAAAAGGGGAAATTGAGGACTCTCCTTGACTAAAGTTTACTGGTTGCCACATTATCTGAATTTATTTCTAACACTTAGATTTATAACATTTCTCCATTAAAAATGTAAAGCAAATGAGTGAAGCATTTAATTCAGTAATTGACTTTCAAAGACTTGACAAACTTTAGAAACCAAGGGAAAGACAATGGTTTTTAAATATGTATAAACATTCAAAATGAAGTGGTGATTGACTGTTAATATGTCACAGAAATGTTCAGCAGGTAGAAAACAGAGTTTTCTCTGATAACTTGATGAATTCAAGTTGATGAATTCAACTTAACTTGATGAATTCACAACATTTCAAGTCCAGACCATGCTCTATGGCAGTCTTGATTTCTCTCATCGACAAGAACACAGTAATCTCACAATATTCCTATAACAAAAGATATGATAAACTTTAAAGTTGCAAGTGTACCAAAAGCTGCAAAAACCTACATAGGAAAAACCAGATATTTTACTTATGTATGCAGTATCTACATAATAACTCTTCATCTAAAATGCTAAGCGATCAATAATTAAGAACTTTCTATCTCCTGTTCTTTTTTCAACATTTTCTAAGTTTTCTTCAATGATAAAATTCTACCAACTAAAAAGTCCAAAAACTTGAAGCATTCGGATTTTCCTTTTCAGTTGTGTGTGTGCTTGTCTTATAAAATAATCAATATTAATGTATAAGATACAGTGAATATTTTTCAGAAACCAGTATGTATTAAAATATTGCAAGAATATGTCTTCTTATGATAATGGACAATATTTACTAGAATTACCTTAAATGTTTTACATCCATCATCTGATTAAATCTTCACAAAACTCTACAAACCTGGGATTATTATTTGTCTTGTAAAGTTTGGGACACTTAGGACAGTTAAGTGACTTATTGAGGGTTCTATAGCTCAAAGGTAAGCAGATCTAGATCTAATCCAGATACATGCTTCCAAATAAAGTGCTCACATTCATTCTACTACATTTCTTCTACATGTACTGGGTAATTATATCTGAAGCTGTCTTTTATTTGGGCAACAATTGAGCTCTTTTCCAAAATAAAATTCTCTAATGATATCCTAAGCAAGGGAATCAGTATGGTACCATTTCAAAGATGACAACTCAATTTTCTTGCTCTGTCCATCAGTTGCCCTTAATTTTAGACTACATGTTAAGACTTGTTAAATGATTTCCATTACAATATGAATTCCTAAAGACATGCTGCTGGAAATGCCCAAGATCACATTTGGTCAAATAACAGAAACACAAGCAAATGGAGTCAATATTTTTAGGCAGACCTTAAGGAAATGCCCTACAGGGAACAAGAAAAGAGGAGCGTAAAATCTCAGCATCACTATTTCAAGTGCCTGGATCCCTCTCTCTTCTGCAGGAGTCTAAGGACAGCATTTTTTACTTCTTTGTTGCGAAGACTATAAATGAGGGGATTCAGCATGGGGGTCACAATAGTATAAAACACAGAAGCCATCTGATCCTTCCCCAGGGAGTAGGATTCACTTGGTCTTACATAAGTGAAGGTCATAGTGCTATAAAAGATAATGACGGCCATGAGATGCGAGGCAAAGGTGGAGAAGGCTTTTCTCTTTCCTGAAGCAGAATTGATTTTCAGGATAGTGGAGAGAATGGACACATAGGACACTGACAGCATAATAAGAGAGACCATGAGGGTAGCACCTGCAAAAAGGCACATTATGATTTCCAGATCATGGGTATCAGTGCACGACAGAGCTATAATTGGAGATGAGTCACAGAAAAAGTGGTGGATTACATTGGAGTTGCAGAAACGTAACCTGCTCATGCATAGCCTATTGACTAAAGAGTCTGCAAAACCTACCAAATAGGACCCAACAAGGAGGGACCAGCAGCGTCTTGTGGACATAACAACAGGGTAGTGGAGAGGATTGCAGATGGCTACATAGCGATCATAGGCCATGGAAGAGAGAAGAAAACATTCAGTGCCACCCAAGAAGATAAAAAAATGCATTTGGGTGAAGCAATTCAGATAAGAAATCTTCTTGTTGGAGGTCAGTAAGTTCCCTATTGTTTTAGGGGTGATGACAGATGAATAACTGAGGTCAATGAAAGACAGGTGACTGAGGAAAAAATACATGGGGGGTGTGAAGTTGGGCATCCAGGCGGATGACCATGATCATCCCTGCATTCCCCAGCACGGTGACCAGGTATATCAGGAGAAACAGCACAAAGAGCACCAGCTGGATGTCTTTAGCATCTGTCAGTCCCATAAGGATGAAGTAAGGCACCTCTGTGTTATTCCATTTATGCATTGTGCTCCTCTGCTTTTACCTGTTGAGAAGTCAAAGTTGACATTTAGCAGAAATATCTTGCAAATGGTTTGTTTTTTCAATTCAATATGGATGGCATGGGAGGGTAATTTGGTGGGGAGAGTACTTCAGTGGCAATATCTGATGACCATATGAGAATATTATCTCAATTAAAAATAAATTACTAAATAAATTAAAAAAAACAAAAGTATTTGTGCTTCTACAAATAATGTGACTTATGAAATTTTTAATATTTTAATATTTATAATAATGAGTTGTTTGTAGCATATGATGGAATAAAATCTAATTTGATTGCCAATTAAAGAAATAGGTATAAATTGATAATTGTAGATGATATAATAAAATTTGATATGTTTCTTATTTAGAATGAAAGTAACACTCTTCTAAATACTTCCGTTATTTAATGTAGTTATTCCTCTTAAAAATATTATCCTATAGGTGTCACTGCTAGTCATACTTTTGACATTAGAAAAAAATAGACAGTTCAATATACCTATCCAGAGTCAGAGCTATTAGAAGATGGCATTATGTGTCTATGAGATAGACTGACTGCAAAGTGCTTATCAGTTAAATATTCCCCATTACAATTAATTTTAGTAACCCTTAAAATAATGTTATATATAAAATAGCAATAATAATATGAACATGGTTTTAAGGCATTATTTACTAAACTTTGCTTTTAATATTATTTAATATTAATGACAAACCTCAACCTTAAATAACTTCAATGGGTTTATTAGTGAAATTAATACTAATTAATGATACCAATTTCTAGAAGCCAAAATGTTTTCCTAATTTGACCATTTTAAATCAAATTTTCCTCCAAAATTGCTTTCAAAGATATTGTCAAGGCTTGGAGTCCCTGTTTCCATAAACTCTTATTTCTGTCTCCACAAGTACAGGCATCATTTAGGGTTTAAGTGTGTACATATCCTTCTGATATGTGTCCATTTTTATTTGATTCTAACTAAAATCCTCTAATTTTGAGTGAAATACTTACTGTGAGCCAAAGTTAGTGGGAAAAAAAACAAAGCCTTCTTCCAATATTACTGGTCTAGAAATTGTTCACCCTAAAATTTTACTCAGAAACAAAAGATGAAAACCATCTGAGTCAAAGATTTCTGAATATAGTATATGTTTTCTTAGAGATAAGTGCTTTTTAAGTTTTTGTGCACTCATTTTATCCTGATGTAAAAATCAGTCAAACTAGGAATTTTGAGAAGGTCCTGGTCAAGTGGAAATTTGCCTGAAAATGATGTCTGTAAAGAATATTAGGGTGTTACTGGGAACATAAGTGGAACAGAATTGCCTCATGTCTCTTGCTGATAATTCTAGGCTGCCTCATATATTGGGAACGGGTGGTGATGCAATGTTTGAACGTCCTTGAGGGACCAATTACTAAGGAAGACACTTCGGCAAGCTTCCAAGGAAAAAAGCTCAAGGACTCAATACAGCTGTGGTATGTATTGTCCCTTAGAAACCACCTAATAAAGAGCCTGGTTTGTTTTCCTTTTTCTCTAAATTTTTGACTGCAGATGTAAAGAAAATATTTCTAGGTATTTACTGCATTTTTCTATTACTGAAACCATTAGGGATGGAATTATTTATTTTTCACAATGAAATGTTTTTATATTTATAATGTGATACTGTCATAGGCATAAAGCTTAGTCATTGGAGAAAAATAGGATGAAATAAAATTTAGAAGCAAAATGAAAACAATTCAAATTGTTGCAACATTTTTATAAATTTTCCCCAAGAATTTTTCTTTGTACATATGTCTGTGTCCTGATAAGATGCATACTATTATTATTCTGTATATTAGCATTCAATCCTCATTTAATTATGAAAATTTACTAGTATATCATGAAACCTTTCATGAAACCATAATTTCATATATTATGTGTTGGTTAGTACCCCACAGCTGGCTTCCTTTTAGAAAAGTTCATCTGCTCATAATATTTTGAGGTATCTTGGACTGTGGGTGCAGATTTTGCAGTGTCCTGACTCGTCCACTTATCAATATTTGTGGCACTTGTTTAATGCTTTAGTGTATTTGCTATTTTATTTTATATTGAAGATACCCGCATTGATGTTAGTAAACATTTGATAAATAATTTATTAGCCAAAAGCTCACTTATTTCCTCTGTAATCAAGTCAAATGTTTTCTTAACTATGAATAAATTTAATTAAAATATGAAAAAAACACTGAAATATAGTATTGAGGATGACTTGTGTAAGATGAGGACGCAAAGGAATATATGAAAAGGGATTAACTAAGATGAAATTGAAATATTCCTGTGCATCTTGCATCAATTCATCATAATGAAATAGATTTTTATGTAAATTTCTAATTCTCTGAGAGGAAAGACTGCTCAACACACAATATTTCAGGAGATAACTTGTCAGAGCTCTTTTTGCATGTTTTACCATTTATTACTCATTCTGACTGACCAGCTACAGATTGAGCTTCCAGAGACTCCTTCTGTGTTTTAAAATCCAGGTCAAGCCTTCCCTAGTGGCACAAAAGGTTAAGACACAGCACCATGAAGCTATCCACAGCCACTGCAGCACGAGTTGGATCCCTGACCAGGGAGCTACCCACATGGTGCAGCAGACTTCTACTGACTCGCCTGCTGCTCCCCTCAGCAGTGTATTTCAGTTGGTCTGCCTGTTCTGTTCCCCCACTCTGTCTCTGGTGAATCCTCTCATCCTCCACACCTCTGGCCTGTACCCCAGTTCCTGTATGCATAAATAAATCTTTAATATAAATAAATAAATAAATAAAATACAAACCAGGGCAAAGCCAGGTTGTTACCTGATGATAATGAGAGGTTCCCACAACTCCTTCCTTGGGATCAGTTAACTTATATGAGCAGTTCACAGAACTCGGGACATGTACTTTCTGAATTGCCTGTTACTGAATTGCCTATTCTCCCTAAAGGGATATAAATGAGAAATAGCCAAAAGGGACAGGTACATGGGACAGGTATGGGGGTAGGTCTCAGAGCTCCATGGCTGATCTAGGTATCCCATCTCCCCCAATCTCCATGTATTCAACCTTTGGAAGTACTCAGATCCCTGCCCTTTGACTTTTTACAGAGGCTTCACTATTGGCATAAGTGATTAAATCACTGTTATTGATTGATTCAGCTTCCAAAGCTTGTCCCCTCTATCCTTCCCTCTTGCTCTACCCTGGAATTGAGGAGGTAAAACTAAAATGTTCATATTATAACAATGTAAGACAAATAATTAATAAAAAAAGAACAAAATGTCCCAACCTCTAATCATTTGGCTGTTTCTCCTGGCAACCAATCCCCATTCCTAGATGGGAGCCAAACTTACCACATGCACATAATAGAAGAACCTCAAGGTTTTCATAATTTGGAAATTCAAGGGTTTTAGAACTCTATGTCAAAAGAGGAGTCTGAGAACAGATATATGTTTCTTATTATTAGTCACAACATGAAAAATGTGAAAACACTTGGAAGAAGTGAGGTTTATACAAGTGGAGTAGAAAAAACCATGTTCAGTGAAATTGCTTTGTCCTAAGTTTTTTCATCACTTTACATTTGTAAAAATTGTGTAGAAAATATATTGGACTTTGTACTTTAACACCTACTATAATTTTTGTCTTCTTAGAGGAATTATTTAACTCAATAAATATAAATTAGTTATATATTTTCCTATATATCATAACACTATTATTAGTATAGTGTCTTTCTCTGAAATGCATTCTTCTTCTTCTTGTCTTCAACTATTTTTATATAATTACTCTACCACACATATCCCTTAATCTCCATACATTTAAAGATAAATTATGTGTTCAAAATTCTATCTTTTTCTGTGTTGCTTGCTCTAATTTTCCAAATGATGATGGGATTTATCTTTATTTATGGACCTAAGAGTGAGTCCAATGCTACATCAAACTTAAAGTCTATGTAGTTCAATTTATTTTATATTAATTGAATAATTACTCTTTAAGAATTCCTCTAATGCCACTTGAAATCAAGCAAAATAACTATCAATTAATTATTAATGATTAATAATAAAGTGAATTAATTAATGTATTTTTTTACACTACTGCAATGACTGTTTATTGAATGTCATGAATATTCCCCACATTACAAAGGAATGAAGTGGATACAATCTTGCCCAACTGACACACATTTTGCAGTTAATTATGAAAGTTTTAAATTTTAAGTAATTCTATTAGCACTTTATAAATAACAGATTTCTGAAAAAACATTTTTAGTAACAATAGTTTAAAAATACATACTGATCAGAGAGATAAACTAAAAACCTACTTATTAAATTAATTATACTTATAAGAAGTTAAAATATGGAGGCTCACTTCCTATTTTCCACATGTCTTTGACCTATTTGCTTACTATTAATCCCCCAAATCTGGGTCACAGTCTTTTAAGTAAACAACTTCCTGGGGCTTTCAGGAAGGGTGAAGAGGGAATATTTTGCTTCTAGTAATTATGAAAAAAGAATCATTTAAGCTATGTATATAAAAGACTGCCTTGTTTAATATAAGAATGAAAAGAAGAAGATGTCTGGCAAATTTTCATATATTGTGATCACTTCTCAGTCTTAGTCCTAAATAATATGGCATTGATCAATTGGTTTGATTAACAGCAAGACTTTTGCAGAAAGTCTAAAGAAAAGACAGGAGAGATACATGACTTGTTCAGAAGAAATGGGTAGTATGGGAGCTAAGGGGTAAGTACAGAAAGAGGGACTTAAAGAGAGAATGATGGGCACTATAGACAAGATAAAGAACATACAGAAATATAAAGAACATATTGAAAAACACATGCGGACATTTATCCTAATTTTTGGCAAATAAAATATATTACTATTTCTCATAATGAGCAAGATGAACGTGAAGTGATTTTGCTTCTAGACAAGCAAGAAGACATTAATAACATAAAAGGAAGAATCAGATACATAATTTTAGAAGTTCTAAAGAGAAGTTAGTCCCTGCAATTATCTATATAAAAGTACAGGTCCAATGCAAGTGCAATCAAAATAATACATAGAAATAGAACCAGTAAATATAAATTAGAAGTAAAATCATGCTGTATTTTCACTGAAACATACACCAAAACATTCATGACAAAGCCTTTCTATGTACGACTCTCAAGAGAGCATTTTTCACGTCTTTGTTCCTCAAACTGTAGATAAGTGGATTCAGCATTGGAATGACGATGGTGTAGAACACAGAAGCCACCTGGGCCTGTGTCAGGGATGATGTGTTATCAGGCTGCAAATAAGTGAAAATCAGGGATCCATAGAAGACAGTGACACCCATGAGGTGGGATGCACAGGTGGAGAAGGCCTTCTGTCTGCCTGCTGCAGACTGGATCCTCAGGATGGCCAAGATGATGGTGATGTAGGTGATGGTGATGATGAGGAGTGAACTAAGAATAGTGAATCCAGCTAAAACAAAGATCACCAACTCTGTGTTGAACGCATCTACACAGGAAAGAGCCAGAAGAGCTGTGGTATCACAGAAGAAGTGGTTGATGATGGCATCACAGAAGGGCAAGCTGCTTATCACACAGATGGATATCAGAGAGTTGGTGAAGCCTATCATGTAGGGTATGGCCCCCAGCCAGAGGCACACTCTCTGGGACATCACCACCGGATACAGCAGGGGATTGCAGATGGCTGCGTAGCGGTCATAGGCCATGGACCCAAGAAGGAAACACTCACTACATACCAAACCCACAAAAAAGTACATTTGAACAAAGCAGCCCACAAAGGAGATGGTTTTCTGGTTAGACTGAAAATCGACCAGTGCCTTGGGTGTCACAGTAGAGGAGTAAAATATATCAATGAATGCTAAGTTACTAAGGAAAAAGTACATGGGTGTGTGAAGCTGAGAGTCAGTTCTGATCAGCATGATGAGACCAAGGTTGCCCAGAACAGTGAAGAGATAAATAAAGAAAAACACCAAGAAAAGACTGACTTGTAGTTCAGGGTGCTCTGCAAATCCAGAGAGAATGAAGAGGGTCACCTGAGTGAAATTCTTCTCTAACATAGTTGTCAGCTCAGGCTTGGAAATACCTGCTAAGGAACATCAGCAGTAGTTAGAGGAGTATTCAAGTCTAGGATAGTCTGAGCTGATTTAAACTCTGATAGTGATAGTTGAAGATGGGAAGCAAGTATTTAATGCCTCCAAGTGAGTTAAGAACTTTGTGTGATTTTCACTTTTTTTCTCCCAGAACTGACTAATACTAATAAAGAAATTATAAGTTCACAATTGTGTGGATTTGGTGGTATTCTAAAAGGCATATATCTTAAATGTTCAAGATATACCATCCTCTACCCCAGATTGTCACTGGGTCCAAGACTACACACTCAGAACTTTATCTGTTGTAGTTAACTGTATGTTACTTATAGGACATATGTTAGCGATTTTGCAAGGAAGGCTCCATATTTTGTGATCAGTGATACATTTGGGTGGCAATCTTAATTTTTCAAGTTGTAACTTGTGCTTTATACAGTTGTTTTAGCTTAGATGGGCACTTCTAATAGTTTCTTGGAACCAATAGAGCATCACTAAATTTTGAAATATATAAAAATGTAAATATGAAAAGAATGAATAAAAGAAAATATATGAACAACCACTTGCATGTTTTCTTATTAAAATAAATTATATTAAAGCTCAAATTCTTTATAATTGTTTTTTTTCTAGCGCATATTTTTTGTCTCTATAAGTTTGCCAAGCCCTAATGAGGAACTTAATACATAACACAGTTAAATGTGTGTGTGTGTGTTTAGTAATCATGTTTGTTTCAAATACAAACAACATAATAATCTGTGACATCAAGTTACAGCAAGCCATTGTCAAACAGTATTTTTCAATCAATGACAAAAGACTGAAAACAATGAGCTTTGTTATATCAATATGTCAAACAAAAAATTAAAATATAACCTCTCCTCACTAGAAGCTACATTTGTCCAAATTGAGCTGATGTAAATAATACATAACTAAAGTCATATGAGCACAAATTTGTTTCAGATATTTGCCAACCTACTCGTAACCTAAAGGGACTTGATATATGTTAATATACTTAATCATTTATGTCCCACTTGTTCACAAATGTTCTTATTTACCTTTTTATTACTAAAACATTTAGCCCATGGAGCCATTTTGTTTTGCTTGTCATTAAAGTCACTTTCTCAACCTTTTGAAAGATGCAGTCATGTAAAACAGCTTTCTCATTGGGAGACACACAGAAACAGAGATGGGAAAAGAATGATGAAATTAGACTTACCTGAGAGTCACTCACCTAAAGGAAACCTCCTCCTTCAGGTGTAGCCCACCTATTTCCCAGTTACGATCATACAAGAAAAGAAAACAGCACACTGTTTGCCAACATTACCATTAATTTCTGGTTTATAATTTTATTTTCCCTGACTACAATTCTGAGTTTCATTAATTGTCATTGTAATGGCAGAGCTCTTGTACTTGCTGTTATTGCTGAGCTCTATTTTCTAAATAATAGAAAGCTGTTAATACCCTGATGTTGATGAAAAGATGGTGATTTTGGTGACAGTTCTGGGTAATACATAAAGAAGCTTCCATGGATAGGATAGAAATAAGAGACAAGTTAACTAAGATAATTGTTTATTTTTAAGTCCTTTCTTGAGAATTAAAATTTAATTTGTAGCTCAAGTCAAGATTTGTATTCAGGTTTGGTTTGGTTTATAGAGTTTCTCGAAAGCAGTCCTATAGCATATCATCATCTTCTGAAATCTATTGTGTTAAATTATCTTCTTATATAAGCAACTCTCCCTCAAACATCGGCAATCACACAATCAGTCAATTAGCATCTTTGATCTCTTGAGATTTGTATTTTAATTGTACCCTAAGGTCTATTTTTAATTTGCTTGGAATACATCTCCATTGGAAATGTTCAGAAATATATATTCCTGGGCCTCCCCGGTGGCGCAGCGGTTGAACTCTGGGTTGTGAAGCTGCCCACAGCCTCTGCAGCGCCGTTAGATCCCCGGCTGCTCCCCGGCCACAGGAGGAGGATTCTACATGGCGCACAGACCTCTCCTGCCGCCCGCTGCTCCCCTCAGCAGTGTACTTCGGTCCTTCTGCCTTTTCTGCTCCCCGCTCTGGATCTGGTGAATTCTTTCACCCTCCCGTGCTTCTGAATGTTCCCAGTGCTTGTATAGATAAATAAATAAATCTTTAAAAAAAAAAAAGAAATATATATTCCTTTCTTTTGTGCATTTCAGTTTATATGGTAATATACATACTGAAAATATAATTAATATAGTTTTTTTTAAGAATCAAGTTTATTTTGATATTATTAGCATATGCATGCATATATAACCTTATATAAAACATTATGAAAATAGACATAAGATGTTAGAGATTATCGGATAACCACTGTCTCAGCCTGGACATCCTAACTAGCCCTCCCAGCAAAGTGAGGTGAATTTTCCTACTTATTTCAGATTTAATGGTGTTAGCATACACTGAAATTCTGTTACTATTCATGTCAACAAATCATGTATTCATTTTAATGGAGGCACTCAATGATATTTTAATCGACATTGCTCAGTGTTACATACACAAAATCATTGATGCAATGATAGTCACTAAACTACAGACTATCCAATGTCATAAGACATTCCTTAAAATCCTCTTTTTCTGTACCAGGATGCAACCAAGATATCATGACCCCTTAGTCCCCTGCAATCTGTTCCATTTTCTTTCCTTTTCTTATATTACTATGATACTTTTCCAAAGTTATTATGCATGTGTTTTGTACAACTTCCTTTAATTAAAAATTCTCTGATATTGTCTCAAAATTAAATGGAGGTTACTCATTATGGTTTAAAGTACCGGAGAGATGATATTTATATTTTGTTCATTTTGTCAGAAAATACATAATGTCAATAAGTGATATCACTTGTGATTTTTTTTGTTTATTTATTTATGGATACAAGAACTCAGGTAAAGGCCAGAGGTGTGGGGGATGAGAGGATTCACCAGAGACAGAGTGGGGAACAGAACAGTCAGATTGACTGAAACACACTGCTGAGAGGAGCAGCAGGCAAGTCAGGAGAGGTCTGCTTCGCCATGTGGGTAGCTCCCTGGTGGGTCAAGGGATTGAACTTATGCTGCAGTGGCAGTGGGCAGCTTCACAGGCTGCATTTTAACCCCTTGCGCCACCAGGGTGGCCTGATATTACTAGTGATGTTAAACTTGATCACTTAAAGTAGTTTCTGCTGGAAGTTTTCACTATGTAGTTATAATCTTTGCTTTGATATATACATGTAATTATAAAATATATACATATACCATATATATAATATTCCATTAATCCTTTCTGGCACCCGTCAATATGTGCTGCTAATATCAATTATTACTGTAGTGTTTTGTGAGCAAATTTCTATTTCCCTTATTCTTTCAAAGTATTTTAATTGAAATTAGTCTGTGAGAAAGATTTGTTCTTTCTTCGGTTTGTATTTGGGTATTTAGTTAGTGACACCAATATACTCATCAATAATTGTTTTGTTTGTTCTACTGTCCAAAACCACCAACACTTATTTTATCACTTAGATTGTTTTATCTTTGATAAAAGAACCATTTTTAAATTGACTCTGGTGTGAGCTGGAAGGGACTATGTTCAGTGAAATATGCCAAAAAGAAAAATATTAGATGGTTTCACTTATAGGAGAAATGTAGGGGAATTAAATAAGGGAGCAGGGAAAAATAATTATAATAAATTAAAAAACAAAATTAAAAGGCAACTATTAATCAGAGACACTCTGAGGGGATGGGGACAAAGAGGGATCAAAACAGATGAACAAGTACAAGGGACTATGGTGATGGTACATGAGTGAATTGGTGGTGGGAATTTTACAGGGACTGTGCCTGAAAGGAGAAAGCATGCATTGTACGAAAATGAAAAATGATGTAAAATATATATAAAATAAGTAAATATCCTCTGGTGGTCTGTGTTCCTCAGACAGCCTCTTTTCTCTCTTTCTCTCTAATTTCTTGCATATTAACATCATAAGATTGCTCCAGGCTTACCTTACATTTTCCTGCACTCAGCTCAGAGATAATCGCTTCTCTTTTATAGAAGACAGTATTTGAAAACCTGGATCTGGGTTATATATAGTATTTTTAGGTATGCAATTATAATTTCCCTTTACTAATATATCAACCAAACCTTCAATGCTTTCAAATGTTCAAGTAATTAGAAATATAATTTTTAATTGAATACAGTGAAATAAGTCAGAAGGGAAAAGATAAATACTTGATGGCCTCATTTATATGTGGAATATAGAGAAACAAACAAAAGAAAAAGTCAAAATTAGCAGCTTATCATAGAACTGAGGCTTATTACAAAGAGTGGGAAGGGGGCAAGAGAGGGGCGCCATGCAGGGGAGGGGTGAACACAAGGGAATATGATGATGGTCCGTGAGTGATATGGTGCAGGAGAACTATGGGGACTATAACTATGTAAGAAAAAATAAATAAAGACATAATGTTATAGAAAAAATAAATAAAGACATAATGTTATAGGAATGTTTACATTTGCAAACCATAATTCTGGATTGTCTGACCACTGTGGAATGAAGTGCAACCTAACACCTTAATATTCTCATAAACCTGCTGATAGATGATAGATAGATAGAAGCATAGATACAGGTACATATTTTTAGCATTGCATCACCAACAGAACCTTCTAATATCAACAAAATCAGACTCATATCTCCAGGCTGGCTATAGAGATAAACAAAGAGACCAGTCACATCTGTAAAGTTTAATTCAAAAAGTATAAAAGTCTTGTCAGAAACAAGGTCCTCACCAAGTAGAGTAACAGATGAAGGAAACCCCAGAGAAATCTTTACTTGAAGCTAGTATATGTTTGTTTGAAGTCAACTTCTAAAATATTCATGCGTTTTGTCTCATGTAAGCTTTTAACTCTGAGTTCTTTTTTTCTCTCATTTGTAAAACTACTTAGCTCTTCTGTAGTTGCAAAAAAAAAGGGAGGCAGTTCACTG